TGAGATCTCGGGAGAGAAATGAGAATGCATGTGGTGCTTTAGAATGTGAGATCTAAGGACCATTAAAATTTGAAAAGTAAGAAAAAATTAAAAAAAACGTGGTGGTAGTTTCATAATTTAATTGAACTTTAATTTGTAAAATGAACTACCTGCGTAGGAAAATGCACCATGGACGAACATAAATGCACCTTTCACACATTCTTTCCACAAGGTTCATTCTCACAAGAACCGTTCCTTATATATGTATGTATGTGTGTGTGTGTGTATACACACACACACACACATATGCTATTAGATTATAAATTTGCGGGGGCATAGCACAATTGGCAAGACAACTGTTGTCAAGAGGAACAATCAGGTCGATTCCTGAGAACAATGTTAAGCAGAGTACCTTTGCAAGCATTAGGTTCAATTAAAGCTCTATCTGTACTCTCCTCGTCTCGGAAAACATTTTTTATTTTTTGGTGTTTTAAGTGTTTTTTTGTATTTGACTTTCTAATTTTACCCTTAGAGCTTTTTTTAAAAAGAGATGTTCCAAATCATGAATAGTGATCAATAATGTGAAAGAGTAATTAAAAAATAAAAAGTAATATAAGATGTGATGTGAGAAAGTATGGTTAAAGAGGAGTATTGCAATTCATTTTGGAAAAACTGAAATGTTTTATGAAACGAATAAGACTGAAATATTTTTTGGGACAGAGGGAGCTAAGTATTAGTTAGTACTCCATGCATTCATGATCGTGACTATCCTTTGCAAGTCAATTTGTTATTAAAACTCAATTTACTTCGTCTAAGTTCGTTTGGTTTAGTGAGGAACTTCGAGGATGAGGCTCTCTTTCTTTTGTTGTAAATGAAAGTTAGAACTAGTCAATTCGTAAATTATACTCCATTCGAAAATTACTCTCTTTGTCCATCATAGATCTTCCCAGACACTATTTACAGGGTTAAACTTTACTTACTTTGTTTGCTCATTTTTACTAGTCATTTCGTAAAATAATATAGTCTTGTCACCTCTAGTTTTGTAGAACTTTTCATGTAGTTTATTACTATATAAATTTTATTTTAAAATTTTATTTCTAGAATCAATTAAATTGAATTGAAAATAAAGTCGGTCAAGTCTCGTAACGCGTAACGGGAAGAAGTTAGGTGGACGGAGGGAGTATTATATAGCGTTCTTCTTTATCATTAGTTAATCACATTTCCAAAGAGTCAATTCAAAAAGCAGATACAATCATTAAGCAAGAATATAAACAAAACTATTTCTCGGTACAAGTAAAGAGTAGAAACTAAAACAAGTTCATAAGTTTGACCTAGCTAAAAGATTCTCCCAATTAATTTATTTTCTGCTAATTAACAAAAACATCACCAACGTTTTTTGGAGTTTGAGGAAAAAACTAAAATAGGAGTAAACATTGAAAATATACCAAAATAGGAATTTCATATTTTTATTCTTAAAATAGGCAATAAAATCATGTAAATTACCAAAAAGTATAGTAAAATGCTCATGTATAGCTATATTACTACAGTGAAAACTCTTATTTAAAGAATACAAATATGGAACTCTTGTTTTGGTAGTTTCTATATATTTTGCTCCTATTTAAGTGATTTCTTTTTGAGTTTTGACATTAGAAACTTATGTTAAATATAACGTCTGATACATATGGTGTCTCCTTAATAAAATTGATAATTCTTACCTCAGTTGATCCATTAGTGATACACCTTGACATCCCTTTAAACTACATTCCTTGATTTTTGTTGATTTTTTATGACTAAATTGATGGCCAATCAGTATAAACCCTAGGTCCTTTCGAAGGATTTGAAATGGAATGTTGAGGAAGAACCGAGAAATAATCGGAGAGGAAAATTTAGAGGAGTAATGCTAGAGTCACAAACAAATAGTTCACAAAATTCACAAACTTGTCTTTTTAACTCTTTTCTAGAAATAAGATGCACTCAAATAATAAAAGATATTTTAATTTAAAATCCACAAAAGGCAAGTTTGTGAAGTTTGTGAACTTTATGTTTGTGGCTCTAGCATTTTCCAATTTAGAGAGAGAGAGAGAAGTCTTATCATTAAGCAACCAATTTGATGACAAGATGAGCTTCTATATAAAGGGCTGATTACAAGAAGAATTTTAACAGAATTATGTAGTCAGTTAGGATTCCAACAAATTCGTAACTAACTCAGCTCACCCACTGCTCCCAACTCAACATTCTTCCTCTTCTTGTATCAATACTAGGGGTGGGCACGGGTCGGGACGGTTCAAGTTTTATATCGTCCTGCGTTTTGTCTCATTTTTTCGAACAGTTCGTGCCATAAGCTTGTGTCTCATAATATTCGAGATCGGGATAAAATGGAACGGGTTTGAGTTGTTCTACTTTGTCATTATCCGGAATTATATATAAAAATATAAAATACCTAAGGGGGAAGCAACCCATTTTCACTTGCAAAGTAATGGAAAAAATGATATATTTATTTAGAATGTTTAAAACAAGCCAGGAAACATGAACTTTGGGTAGCCGTCTTTAACGAAATCCATACAAATGTCAGTCTAGACACCATGAGGATGGAATTGGTAAGGGTTGTAGTAATTAATCCTAGGGGAGAAACAACTTCACACTTATGCCTCTGACACATATCACATTTATTGGTGATATACTTCGTGACATCTCTAATGAGATCCTTCCAATAGAATAGAGCTTGCAGCCTTTTGATGATAGATGGCATCCATCCATACCCGAATTGAATGACCTCCTTGACTGGTGTTATGCCTATGCCACAAGGATATTATAATGTTCCTTAACTATACAATGAATGGGCTTCCCAATAGGAAATGAGACCGGCCACTTTGTTACTTCAAAAAATAAGGGCCAATAACTCGATATCTATCGCATGCAGACAGCAGACATATATGGCTTGGTGTTTATTAGGTGCTAATATAAGGACTTACTGTTACGAATGAATCTTTCTTTATAAGGTCATGTAGTGATGTGCAGATATTACCAAAGTCCTTAATAAATCTTTTATTTATTATAATAGCCAGCTAGACCCAAGAATCCCCTTAATATAATTCCTTTATGTTTTTGGGAATGGAAACTCCGGTGATTTCTTGACCGGATGATTCCTATGCGACCAACAAGATTGCATTAAAACGGGTGTTACGGTACCTAAAGGGTATCCTTTTACATGCGGGTTGTTCCTCTCTCGCCATGTTCCTCAACAACTTCATGCCTTTTCTGACTTCGACTTGGGAGGGGTCACGCACGATGGCCGATTCATCACCACAGCTTATGTTCTCGATCTACTTGGGTCCTAAAATAATTTCTTGCAAGTCTGCTATGCAAATGAGTGTTTCTCGCAATTTCCGAGTTTCTATGGGTGTAGAATATCCTTACTGAGCTTCGTCCCTCTCTGCGCACTACGCCTACCTTAGCCTATGATAATCTAAGTGCTGTCTACGTCTGCAAAAACCCCATGTTTCACTCTCGCATGAAGCATCTCGCACTTGACTATTTTTTGTTCGAGGCCGTCTCCCTGTTCATCATGTCCCTTCAATTCAACAAATTGCAGACATTCTTACCAAGCCACTTCCCAAGCCATATAAACGTTCCAAGATTGGCGTTTATGACAGATCCTCCATCTTGCAAGGGTGTATCACACCTAATAATATTATTTCAAATAATAATAATAATAATAATGAATAGGAGTAACTTCTTCTTTAGAATTGATTTTGTAACTCCTCTCGTTCATGTCCATATCTCCTTATTTATGTTTACACTCCTTCCCTCCCAAAAAGTTTGTCACGTTTCGAAAAATTTGCGTCCCTTAAAGTCCGTCTCATTTCTATTAAAAAACTACTTTTACTCCTTATTTTTTCATACTTTACCTATCACATCATACCTTTTTCATAATAATCTACCCATCACATCCTACTTTTACCCATCGCATCAAGGGCATTTTTGGAAAGTCAACACAAAATTATCCCTTCTTATTTTACTATTTTAGTCAAAAGGTCTCAATCTTTTTGGGACGGAGGGAGTATTAATTAGGAATTAATTCTCTCCATGATTCCTCTTGTATAAATGTGGAGAATTGTAACTTGTAAATCACTGAATAATATATTCATTTTGATATTTCATGCAATGAAGCGCTCACCCTAGTCCACTCCTTTAATTGCATCCATCAAATTTATTTTACTTTAGAGTCAAAATTTTAACTCCAAAATCAAATAAATTTAGTTGTGCAATTGAAAATGGTAGGGGGTGAATTTAGGTCGGACCAGGATGAGAGATTTATCAAGAGAGTTAGGATTAGGAACTGACAATTTTACGAAGAAGACACCGTAAGACTCAGAGGTCATCTGTGCCCCAAATTTAAATTGGGGCGGGGCAAGTATGCTTAGACCGAGCTGGTATCATTCTATGGGCGGGACTCAATAAACATGAAGTTCCATTTCAATCAAAATAATTAACTACCCACCACTTGCTAACAAGCCCAATTGGTATTTTACAATAATTAGTTTATCTTTCATACACCATCATGTTGTACTTCGTACTTTATAGATATAGAACGTCTATAATCTCACTTATCATATGTTTGCATCTTACGTCAATCACTTAATAACTTTACTTTCATACCATATATGGCCATTAGGTTTATATGGATGGCGTAATTAGGCTAGTGTATTTCATATATACTCCCTCCATCCCGGAAAGAGAACATATTGATTAAAGTGACAAAATAAAGGTGAAATAATTTTGTGTTGACTTTCAAAAAATACTCTTGATGTGATAGGTAAATGTAGGTTGTGATGGTTAGATTATTAAAAAAAATATATGATGTGATAGGTAGGATATGAAAAAATAAAGGATAAAAGTGGTTTAAAGAAACAAGAAGGAAATTGTGAGACACTGTTTTTTTTTTTAAATGTGAAGAAGTTTTTGGGACAATACATGTATATATATGGAGGGAAACATTAAACATATATAGACAAACAAACATGGACTATTACATGGGAGTATCATTAAACATTCTTGGCCTTTTAGGGGCAGCTTCACATCCACCGGCAGATTCCACAACCGATCTTAATGCATTTCGGAGAAACAACATGGACTCATCGGCACAACTGTGATCCTTCAAATCTCCGGCCAGAACGAAAACGTTTCTGATCCGCCCCCCGAGGGTCACCATCTCGGCCCTCAGGGGGCTTAGCCGGAGAGATTTGAGGGTGTGGATCAGGTCCGGGATGAGGTCCCGCCGGTCTTCGCAGCAAAGGGATGCCTTTATCATCAGCCGTCTTCCGTCGGTTTCGCCACCGCCATCGGGATCGCAGGAGAGTGTTATCTCGTCGCTCTCCGACGGGAGAAGGGGGGTTTGGGTGAATTGAGACGCCTCTTCTTTAAGCTCCCTCAGACGGGAAACAACTTTTGCTAGTAACGAAGCCTTGTCTGTCTGCATTGGTTTCATGTATTCATTGGTTACCATGCACTAAAAAAACATACCCTTTTTGTTCAAAATGTCTGTGAAATTTGAAATTTTTTGGGAAATCATTTTCTTGTTTTGGTAGAGATGAAAAGAAAAGTAAAAGTAGAAAGAAAAAATGAGAAGTCAAAAGTGAAAATGACTAAACTAGAACAAAAATATAGAAAATGTACTGAAATAAGAGTTTTATGTTTTGATTCTCAAAATAAGAATTACAATTCAAATACAATGTCAATCATGTCAATATATATATATATATATATATATATATATATATATATATATATATATAACACTAAAATATATTGCTAAATGCCCATATACAATATTCCATTATCGCAATGTAAACTTCTTCTCTAGAGATAAATGCATGAAACTTTTATTTTGGTACTTGCTCTATGTGTTACTCATATTTAAAATGATTTCTTAAGCCAAATTTTCTATAAGGAAGAAAAACAAAGTTTCTCCCATTCGATGAGAAAATTGAAAAAAATCATTTTCTTTTTCTTCAGAATTTTTAAAACAATACTAGAAGTGACATGATTATTAATAAGAAATGGAATCATATTGTTATCTACTCCCTCCGTTCCACAAAACCCTTTCCCTTTCGTTTTTTTGAATTCCCTAAAACACTTTCACTTTCTATTAAAATATCACTTTTACCCTTACTTTTTCATACTCTACCTATCACATCATACTTTTTCTCTAATAACCAAATTTTTACATCTTCCCATCACATCAGGAACAAAATTGGAAAGTCAACCAAAATTACACTTTCTTTATTTTTGCCAAAAGTCAAAAGTGGAAGGATTTAAAGGAACGGAGGGAGTAGTTTCTTTATTCTTGGGTTACTACATTTATAGTCCTACCTTATTCTAGATTCTACATCATATGATCGCTATATACATCTTTGAGTATTCATTATTCAATAACCTAGCATCCCATATTATTAGCAAATTATATTATGTTATCGAAGTTAATGTCTTTCTTCTCAAAAACCTAGCATCCCATATTTTACGACCGTGCGCCACCACTAGTTTTTCTTCAATGGTCAACCGCCACAAAGCATGGCCTTAAAATGCATCCTTCGCTAGTTAAAAGTTACCCCAGAGTACTTTTAATTGTGGTCTTCTGTCTCAGAGAGGGGCCCTTGATATTTCTTTCTATTCTGATTCTGACGACCAATGACAAACATGACTGGTTACCTACTTATGCTTCTTGGTGGACGAAAAAACAAACTCGTGTTTCTTAGTCTTCTACTGAGGCAACGTATTGCACCATGGCTGCGAGGGTGACAAAGGCTATGTGACTCTATTATATTACAGATGCTCTTCATATTCCTTCTGCGAACCGTGCACCTGCTGTGACAATGTATACATTATCTGTGTCACAAAGAATCCAATTCTGCGCAATTAAATGAGGCATGTTGGCTATAATTATCACTTCGTGCGAGATGAAGTCATGGCAAACACCATGACTATTCGTCATGTTCTATCTACCGAACAACTTGCTGACATTTTTACAAAATCGCTTTCGCTTGTGCTCCAAGTTGCCCTTCATAACAGTTGATGAGCTTGTCGGGAGACAAAAGAAAATATAATATTCTTACCTTATTATGCTCTACATCATGTAATATCTATATATTTGAGAGCTCATTACTCAATAAACCCTATTGTTATCAAAGTGTATCAATTATATTTTTTATCAAATAAATAAAAAATTAATAAATAAATATGATAAAGTTTGACATGTAATGTGGATGGTAACCAAGATTTTTTAAAACATATGAGTGGTACTCCCTCCGATTCCTTAAAACCCTTTCTCTTTCATTTTTTTACAATTCCCTAAAACTCTTCCTTTTTCAATTAAAAAACCACTTTTACCTATAGTTTTCATATCCTACCTATCATATCATACTTTTTCACTAATAACTAAACTATCAAATCTTACTTTTACCTATCAAATCAGAGGCAAAATTCGAAATTCGACCAAAATTACACTTTGCTGAATTTGGCTAAAGTCAAAACAGGAACCTTTTAAAGGAACGGAGGGAGTATATAATTAACTATGACCTAATTATATTAAGGTGGGCTAAATCTATTGGCACCACATTTGGATAAATCCACATCATATCATTTAATAATAAATGTACAATGTTATTATTCACCTCTTAGAATCTTCCTAAATAAACTGGAAAGATTCCTTTAAGAAGGGAGTAACTTGGTGCGCTAATGGAGGGAGGAAATGCGCCATTGAGTGCTCTAATTTATTTAGTCTAAAAAGAGTAATGCTAGAGTCACAAACTACTGGGACACAAATTACACGAACTTGCTATTTTTGTACTTTTCCAATTGAATAAAGTGATATTAAATGCTTACAAATTGAAAATTGAGATACACAAATAGCAAGTTTGTGTAATTTGTGTCCCAGTAGTTTGTGACTCTAGCATTACTCGTCTAAAAAACGTTTAATATAGGGGAGTAGTAAAAAGGAGAAGTATTATTGATTAAAAACACCTTTTTGACTAATGCGATAAAAGGCAACGCACATGAATCACCAAAACTGTGACGCCATAATAATTCCGCGCACAAATATTTGACGCATTATTATCCCATCCAGCAAAAGGGAAAGGGAAAACAAGTGGATCCCAAATTGAGCTCATCGCTTTGACCGAACTGTGGATATTTTGCAAGTGCAAACACAGCTCGATCGACTTGTTGAATATTTCCATTCTCATTCTTTTGCTGCGTTTTATTCACTACATAAATTTGAATGGCCCTCGTAATAAATACATATTGTACTGCTACTCCCCGTTCTCAAAAAGAATTTCTAGTTTGACTAAGTGTAAAAATAAGAAAGTGTTAAATTTTAGTCTCATTTCTAGTTTGATGTGACGGGTAAAAGTAAGATGTGATAGATAGATTATTAGAGAAAAAACAATGATGTGGTAGGTACGATATGAAAAAGTAAGGGTAAAAGTGGTTTTTTAATAGGAAGTAGAAGTATTTTATTGGAAATGGAAAAAATGAAAGAGAAAATGTTTTTAAGAACGGGATGAGTACTAAAAATGGAATGTAGTTTTCATTTGGTGTGGTAAATTGTTCTTACTCAATAAGAAATCGTGATTAATTAATTATCTAGAATAATGTCGTACCAATACAATAGAGAATGAATATTATTGGCATGAATGAGATGTAAACTAATTTCAAGTGTTTGTTTCACATTTGAAATGCATTTCTTAAAATGAGACTTTTTTTAAGAAAGTGGATAATTAAGTACGGACAGCATTTGGATAATTTTCAAACTATGCATGTTATCTTTGAAAATGCAAAAAATTCAGTTAAAATGACCAAAATAGGGCACAAACATAACAAGACTTATAAAACCTCGAGAATTTTTATACTCAAAATAAGATTTATAATGCCAATAGTATTAACACATGATACATAAAATATTGTTAAATGTTAATATACAATGCAATAATGTCACAATGCAATATTCTTATTTAAAAAATAAAGACTTGATGTTCTTATTATGGGGATAAGGGTTACTTTAGGTGGCGTTGCTTTGTGAGAAGATATAAATCTAGAAAGAGTTTAGATGAGGTGATCAGTTAGGTAAGACTTAGAACTTTAGACTCTTACCGATTATGTGACACTAGTTAGAAACATCCCAAGATTTAGGATAATTAGAGTAGTTGGATAGTTGTTTGGACAAAGTGGTATTCTTGTCCTTATCGTTTTGTGCTTGTGGGTTGGGGTCTTAGCTTTCTCCTTAAATCTTTTTGTGAACATTTTGTCTTGTTCTTTGATTTTTTTTTTGTGCGGCTATTTGTTGCATAAGGTGGAGGTCACTAGCTAGGAAATAGTGTCTCTAGCTTTAGCACCGGTAAGATATGCATAAACACACTCCTCCCAGACGTTGTTTTGGTAGGATTCTAAAGGTTGTTGTTGGTCTTAAAAATACCACTAAAGAGATCGGAAATTGAAGAGGCGATAAGAAAGAGAGTACGGTAGTAGTGGCGTGGCTGGCTGTTCCTTGGGAAATTTAAAAGGTTTTTGATGCATCGATATGACTGCTGACTTATGACAGGCAGCGCGCGGGCCGACACGACACCGCCAGTTTCTTCATTTCATCCGTTTTTCTTTTTGTTCACTAATAATAAAGCTAAGCCGCCACCCTTTCTTCGATTCCTCCTCCTTAATGTAAATTTCCCCCACCCCTTAAAAAGAAACCTACTTTCTACTCAAATCCATCTGGAGACTCAGTAGTCAGTCCCCCCCCCCAAATAATAAGTAATTTTCTAGAATTAATTTCATATATATATATATATATATATATATATATATATATATATATATATGGTGTTTTTGATGATATCGTATACGTACCCTAGAATTGCAGGGAAGAAGGGCTCGGAGAGAATCGAGGTGAGAGTTTATTCTCTGCCTCCGTCTTCTCTCCGCTTCCCTGTGGTTCCTGGATGCCTCCAGAGCCCGCGCTTCCGGGGTGCTGTCCGGTTCCGGGAAGAGAGCCGCCGCAAGGCTGCTCCCGGCAAAACTGTCGCCTTTGTTGTGAGTAATGCTACTTATTCCTGCGGCGGCGGCCGCTGATGCTGGGACTGGGACGACGTAGCTTCCGCCGGGGCAGTCTAGGAACGAGAACTGGCCGTTATCTGCGTACCAGTCAAAGGGTTCCGGCGGCGTGTTCTCCGGCTGCATGCTGCTGGGATGTGCGGCGCAGCTTGTCTGGTTGTCGGTCTCAATAAAAAGAGCTGCGGAATGGGAAGAGGCTTTGTCTCTCTAGGGTTTCGTTGCCCGGCGTGCCTTGCTTTATTTATTTAGCCTCATTTCTCTAAAATTTACAGTCTCATTTTAAAATATTAGGTGCACTATTTACTTTTAATGTTTTTAAAGGTAATTAATTTACACCCTCTTAAAAAAAAAGGTAATTTACAATATATAAAAAGCTTAAACTGGTAACACTAATGTTGCAGAAAAAAAGGCTTTAGATTTGTTGCAAAAGAATTTTCTCATTTTCATTCTAAACATTTTAACATGGTCTTTCCATTTTTTGTAAGAAATAATTATACCCCTCCGTTTTTAGAAATATTTTCTCCTTTTATTTTTTACTTTTTCAACAAAACCATTCCTCTTTTGAATAAAATGACTAATACATCTAAATAATGTCATTAGAATACACCTCATATATATAGTAACCGTTTCCATTTTTAATTTTCTCTTTGATGCTAAGAATACACACACACACACACATATATAATTGAAAAGTCAAATTACAAAAATTAATAAATTTGCTAAAAGATAAAATAGGAACTGTTTTTCAAACGGAGAGAGTAATTCATTCCTTGAAATTGCTAGGGGAAGTGGAAGTGTATTTGTCACAAAACACTACAAGAGATGTGGTCTTTAACCGCACTTAAATTTGTTGTTCGCTGCATTTATAAGCGCGGGGTTTTTTCGCCACACATGAGGTGAGGTGTGCCTATCACCACCTTAGAAATTATGAGGTAAAATTTACAATTTTTGAAATCATTTTCATTACAAATTGGTACATCAATACAAATACTCTTTCTGTCCCATTTGAACCTTCTCGGTCTGCGTTTATGATGCTTGATTGACTTTATTTTCAGTTCAATATTTGATTGTATGTGTAAAATTTAAAAATAAAAATTATATATTTAAAATATTAGATCAAATAAAAGATTTACAAAATTAGAGATGACATAACTATATCATTTTACCAAATTGACAACAAAAATAAGGAAACAATGTACTCCGTATATAAGTTCGACCATATGAATATTATTGTACGACAAGATTCAAGTGGGACGGAGGAAGTATTAAAAAAACTATGTCAAGAGTTCTACAAAACAAATGTGACAAAAATGTTTTATTTTATTATCAAATAATTCATATAAACACACAAATAAATAAAAGTTATCGACATGTGAGAGAAAAACATTATAATAAAATTTGGGGCGGAGGGTGTATATAAACAGATATTACTTCCTCCGTCCCACAATTAATTACAATTTTATTTTCTCCCATCTCAATAAATTTTATTTATTTTTGTGTTTTGATTTATTATTTGATAAAATAAAATATTCTTATCACCTCTTATTTTGTAAAACTTTTGATTAGTTTTTTAAATATGTAAATTTTATTTTTTATTCTTATATCAATTTTTTAATAAAATGATTTTAAAAAATATGAGGTTTTGCCTCGTAATTATAAAATTATAATCAAAATTTGTAGTCAAAGAATGTCACTATTTGATAAAAAAAATTAAAATATAAAGAATTTTCAAGAACGAATGAAGTATACAAATTTTACTATAAATTAATATTAATTGTAATGCAATTAATAGTCATAGAACACAAGTAATATTAGTGTACAAGTTAGTCTACATATTCGTTTTAGATACAAACAAAGGATTTATGATAGGTTAAGTACTCGTTTGGCATTAACTTTAGCATTGTGAAAAGATTGCCTAGTGAAATCGTTTAAACCTAAACTTTTCAAGATAAATCTATACCTAAAAAAATTATTCAAAATGTCAATGCTAATTAAAAGTATTATTCTCAAATAAAAAAACAAAGCTTAAACAAGTAAACAACCACGCAGACTGGTAATTAAGCTTTTCCAAGGCATGCTAAATGGATGAAATGATTATTAAGGCCAAGAGTAATTTACATCGTTTAATCTAAGTGATCCAGCAAAGCTTAAAGTTGATCACGTTCTTAAAGTCTTGATTAATTATTCCACATGCATAATGGCCCCATTTATGTTCATCATAATTGTGCTGATATGGTATGATATGAGGTATCCCTAGAGGTGGACATGGATTGGGATGGCCATTTTGGGCTAAATTTTCACCATTATTTAACCGGCTTAGACATAACATTAAAGACTGAACTTTAGACCATGGATAAAAAAGGAAAAGCACCAATAATCTTATATATGTAAAGTTGAATGTATTTGTTGTAATGTTGACATGTGCATCCAAATGGGCACCCATTAGTGAGGTGAATATATGAGTTTCATTGGTCCATTTAGATTTTTAAAAAATATCTATTAATACATTTGTATAAACTTTTTTCATTTTTTAACAATTCTATAATGGTATGTTTGAGAACATGGATTTGGATTTCAAATCCTGATTTGGTTCAAATCCAATGTTTGAGAAACTTAAAAAATTTGAATTTGGATTTAAGTCAAATTCTTCTCATTCAAAACAAAGCTTAATTTGAAATCCGTGCTCCTCCCTTTGTCATTTGAATTTCAAGATTTTAAATTTTGGAATTGAAATGCATGAATTGAAATGAAATGCTAGTTGCAATGTGATGGGTAAAAGTAGGATGTGATAGATAACTTATTAGTAAAAATGTATAATGTGATAGTTAGGTTAAGAATTAGTACGAGTAAAAGTAATTTTTTAATAGAAAATGGAAGGAGTGTGTGGGACAAGAAAGAAAAAAGGGGAAAAAGTTTTTGGGACGGAGGGAGTAATAGATTTATTGAATTGGATTTAAATAAAAAAAAGAGGTTAATGGTGCATATTTTATGGAATTCGTAAATTTAGACCGATTTGTAGTGTAATTATTTGATTTTAAAATCCAAATAGAAACAAGGAATGAATTGCAAGCAATTTAAAAAGTATGAGGTCAATTTATAAATTGAAAAATCAATTTCAATCCCAATTAGAAAGCTCGAGGTCTGTGTGGTGTTTTTTTTAGGTGAGATCAGCTTGTAACCCGACTGACTCAGATGGAAGGCAGTCAAGGCACCATCTCCAATTAACGACGTCAATCAAGCTCCCTAGCGTCTTCCTCCTCCGTCCTCTTCGGCGAGCTTCCAGCGCCAGCCAGCCAGACGCCCATCTCCGGCAAGCAACAGTAGCGACCAATACTCCGGCAGCCCAACCTAGCGTCCTCCTTCCATATCGAAAAAACGAGGTTGATTAACGGAGAAGACCAGACCCATATGCATAGAAGAACAGAAGCAATTCCAGATCCAATCTGGTGATGTAAAATGTCTAATTTGCCCCTTTTCCATTCTTTACCTAATTTCAGAATTTAGCCATTCTTGTTCATTTTACTTTCAATTTCTCTTATTATTCTATTTATGCTCCCCTAGATCCATTTCCGTCAAGGGATCCTCTACCATTTCCATTATTTGCAATCTTAAGATAGGGTTGTTTATGTTCACCTCCATCTTCATCATCTCGTTTTAATTTGAGCGCTTCCCTTTAAGTTTAGCTCTTTACATGTATTATTGCTTTTTAGTTTAGATTTTATCTTATTCCTTCTCTCTTACTTTCTTTTTATGCATTCATAGATTCAAGCATTCTGGTCATTGGATTTTTTGTGGATTGTGAGGTCTTGATTTAAGTTGTTTATGGAAATTGTGCTTTATTTAGACTTGTATGTTGTTGTTGGCCACGATGGCATACTTGAATTTCAAAATGAGTTCTAAATCACAAAGAAATCAGGATTTAGACCTCTAGCAGTGTGCCTCCACTCACAAATACTACCACGAAATTGAAAATACTTGAGAAGCTTGTTTGATTGGATTGTAGTTCTTGTGAGATGATACCATAAAGTGGGTCTTTTTCTAGGGAATTTTTTCTCTTGTTCCAAAAGGTAAAATCGCTCACCCCGGGTGTCCCTTACTTTCAGCCCGAGGAATTATGAGAAGAGGTAAATTTTGGTGACTCAACCGGCAACAGAGGTTGGGATCAGTGCTCACTGCACACTAGAAGCCGCCCTCATTTTTTGAGACGTTGCTCCCACACTGGCGCTAGTGAAGCTCCATCTTTGGTCTCTTATTCCAAATTCTGCCTCTGAGACTAGTTAAGCTGCACATGCAGGCACAAAATCTTAGGGGATAAAAAGAGCTAAGGAATTCTTTATCCATTCTCACATGAGTGTGACCTGAGGTGCTTTGCTCGCATTCTAGCTGATTTTTAATCTTCCTTTAGTTAATTGGAAATTCGCTTTATTAACATGAAATCTCTAATCTAAGCTTGCTTTTTATCACTTGCATTTCATTTTTAGTAATGTTCATTGCATTAGTCTAGATCCTTTCATTGCATTTTATATTGTGAGTCTCCTCTTTCTATTTCGCCTTGATTCACGTTATAAGATTTGATATTAGTATTTAGTTGCACATTTCACTCGGATCTTAATCAATCACGCCATCCCCGTGAATACGACATCCCTAGTTCACCCTTATACTCACCCATACTTATACGTTTTCCATTTTGCATTTCCATTTCATTGCATTCATACCATATTTTTGACCGAGATTTTTTGGTATCAAACAACGCGCCTGAAATTCTCTTTATAAAAAATTGGTGCCTTTGTCGTGGATCAAAGTCGGGTCAACAGTGTGATAAGCGAGAATACTTACCATTATACTACAATGACATTCATTTAGTTTTGAGTGACAAGCCAGAAAAGATGTCGGATGCAGATTGGGTAGGTTTGGATCAGAAAGCTATGTCCGTGATCTGTCTCTCGTTGACCAAGAATGTTGCGTTCAACATTCTGAAAGAGAAGACAGCGAAGAGAATTATGGAAGCGCTGTCTAACATGTACGAGAAGTCATCTGCAGAAAACAAAGTTTTTCTGATCAGAGAGGTGGTGAATACAAGGATGAAAAATGGCACTTCAGTTACCGAGCATATCAACAAGTTGAATTCGATCTTAGCCAGACTTTTGTCAGTGTGCATTAAGTTCAATGATGAAGTTCAAGCTTTACTACTGTTATTGTCATTGCCTGACAGTTCGTCCGGAACTGTTAAATCAGTTACCAGTTTAGCGGCACCTGACAGATTCAGTTTTGAAAAGATTCGTGACCTCGTTCTTGGTGAAGATATCAGAAGGAGTTCGGCTGAGTCTTCGAAAGAATCACTAAATATCGTCAGAGGCAGAGGAAATAAAAGAGGTAGTGGGAGCAAGAACTGACGAAGGAGTCGATCGAAGACTCGATATAGCTCAGGTGTAACGTGCTGGAAGTGCAAGGAGGTGGGGCATTTCAAGAATGAGTGCCCAAAAGAGGATAAACAAGTGAACATTGCTAGAGGCTCCGCAAGTGACGAGGATTCCTTGGTCATGAATTCTGTTGCTTCATTTCATGCTACCCACAGATATGAAGCATTGCAGAATCTAGTTATTGGGGACTTTGGAAAGGTACGACTAGCGGGCGACAGAGCTCTTGATGTGACGGGAATGAGTGACATAGTGCTGAAGACCCCAGTCGATTTCTGGACTTTGAAGGATGTTAGAGTGCTTCTAGCCTTAAAGAAAAGTTTGATGCAGTTGGACGAACAGGGACACGAGGTGAAGTTCGAAAACGGGCAGTGGAAGGTTGTAAAGAGAAATCTTGTCATGGCCCGTGGAAGGAAGAGAGGTTTGTTGTATATGGTCAAGTTACCATCTGAGGGAGTGACCATCCCAGTTTAGAAGAGAAACAAAGTCCAGTTCGCCTAGTCTCGTGGGCCGAATAAGATTGTCTATGCAAGAGAGAAACCTAGAGCCACACGTCAGACTCAGGATGAACGAGCGAGGAACGGTTCAAGGAGGCCAGTCAGAGGTATTTATGACAGTGGGAGCTCAAGAGGCACTTCAACGAAGTTTCCTATAAGACAGTGGGTCAGGAGAACCAGTATTCCAGCTGTTGGAACATCTCTAGAAAATTTCTTGTTGAGTATGGAGAGTGTTTGTTCTCAAGATGTTCCAGGATGCGGAGGTGTGCGTCTGTAGTGGGAGCTGGTAGGGACCGAGGACGAGTCAGGGGCAGATTTAGCTGTGACTGATGTGTTGGAGCTTGGGAGAGCTTCAACGGGCCTTTCAGTTGTCTGATGAGAAGGCCACTGCAACAGGAGAGCTGAGGAAGATTACTCGATGTACAGGCAATCATGGTGGATGGCAATTGATGACTATGGCTTTGTGGAGGCTTGGACTTGATTTGTTGGCCCGACTCATGTTATGTAACCCTAGGTTTTTTTATCCTATATATTGAGCCTTGTACTTATAATTCCGGTGAGACACGACAAGTGAAATAGAAATTCTCATATTGCAGCCATGGAGTAGAGAAACCGAACCACGTTAAATTCTTGAGTGTCGTTCGTGTTCCGTTTTTCTCGTTTCTCGTGGATTATTTGTGTGTGTTGTGTGTTTTATTTCGCATCATGCTTATCAGTTTCAACAAGCATCAATTCTCTCGGATACAAAATTCAATGGACTTTTAAAATCTAAACAAATCTTTATACTGCAATACATTAAAATGTATGTAAGTCCATATAAATTTAAAATGATCCTTATATTTTATATAATCCATGTATTTTAAAAACTCTGATACAATCCTTTAGAATCTAGATTAAACACACCCCCTGAAACCTTTCCAATGTTTTTATCGAGTTGTTTTTTAGTCATGTTTTTATTTTTTATTTTCCAAGTTATTCTTCTGTATTCCTTATGTCTCAACTTGAGGGGGGAGTGTTAAGATATGATGTATTTGAGTTTGTTAGTCATGGGCCAAGATAGTGGGTGTGTAGTTAGGTCATTGTCTTGTTGCTATTATAAGTTTCAGATTTATGTTTAATAAAATCATTCAGTTCAATTATCATAGAATTATTCTACATCATCGACTCTCTCCCCTCTTCTTCCCTTCCAATCGTGACTTCCTAGTGATCATGATCGTCGAAAGATCTGGTTATGATAGCACCATTAGCAACCCTACCTCCAAATTTCCTTATCTTGCTTTCACTACTATCTTTAACATCGAGCTTCATATTTTGATTCAACATAGCATATCACAACCTAACTATAAAAATGGAGTCATCTCTTGGTTCAAAGTTTTAACCTCAATGGCAATCTTTATGGCACAATCACTCCCAATGAAGAAGATGATATTGAGCGGGCAAAGATTGATGCCCTCCTTCAAAGTTGGACTTTGTCCACGGTCTCTAAAGAGATCACTGATTTCATCATTGCATTCAACTCCATCGCTCATGCTCTTTGGACAGGGACATCCAATATCTTTCGTGATAATAAGAGTGTGTGTCTCACGCAACTTGAACATCGGTTCCGCATGACGGTCATAAGCACCAAATCCATCACCGAGTATTGCGAAAAGCTCAAGAATCTGGTTGATTGTCTTGATGATGTTGATGCACATGTGTTTGTTGCTAAAAAAACCCTAGTCGTGTAGGTTCCACGTCGCTTGTTGCTCGATATGATGTTCGATCACAGGTCTGATTCTTGCAATTCCTCAAACCTGTCCCGATTCACGGGTGACAAGATAACACCACGGCAAGTACGTGCACTCCATGTGTCTTCTTTCTTGAAGTATGCATCTAATTTCACTAAAGAACTACTATTTACCCCTTTCATTCGAAATTGAATTACCTATTGTGGATTAAAAGGTTTGAATTACCTATGCAGCTCTACAAAACAGAGCTGACACGACTTTATTATTTTATCAACGTTGTGTTCTACAATCACTCAAAAAGAGTAGCTACAAAAGCACTCACTCAATTAGTAGTTCATACCCCCAAATCCCCCAGTGACCCCCTCTACCCGGTCCTGAGTCTCCTGGCCCCAACTCATCACCAAACCATGTCAATTGCGGGGTGCAAGTTTAGTTGAGTTTGGAGTAAAAAAATTGACTCCAAATTCAAGTAAATTTGCACCCCTGTAATTGATGTTATTGGGGGATGAGTTGGGATCGAGACTGGGTGGGGGGTTTACTAAAGGGTTAGAAGGGTAGGAACTATCAATTTTTCAAATGGAGCACTGTAGTTATCCCAATTGGGTGAGTGGCTTCCGTAGCCACTCCTTTTGAGTGGTTGTATTTAAGGCGGATTGAGTATTTAATGAAATGAGTAATAAAAATAAACAAAAAAGTGAGTTACGTTTAACCCAATGAATAATGTCTAGTAAGATAAATATCCCTCTACATGCCTCGATTGAAGTAAGGGTCCGTTTGATATAAGGAATTAGTGGAATTGGAATTGAATTGGAATTGAAATTCCATGTGATTCAATTCCATAGAATTGAATACTGGCAATTCCAATTCATTTTTGGCACTATCAATTCCAAATCCACATAATTTTTGTGCTACCAAACACCAGAATTGGAATTGAAGTCCTCAATTCCAATTCCATAGTTTGAATCCATGTACCAAACGGGGCCTAAGAGTAAATTTCTTCAACATGTCTCACACAAAAAATTGAGCACTAACGATGTTAAATTTTCTTTAAAGATTTACTTTGTTCTGATTATGTAAAAGAATCAATTAAATATGACAATAAAAATATGGAAAATGCTAGGGGTACACCAAAAGTGTACCCCAAACATCCCCCACCCCCTTCATAACCACACAAAAAAGCAAGTGAAGTTAAAAAAAAATTAAAAATAAAAATAAAATAAAATGAATGGTAAAGAGTGAGGTGGTGTACATTTGGAGTACACCTTTGGTGTACCCCTAGCATCTCCCTAAAAATATTTATTGCATTTAAAATTTACTCAATATTACTCTAGGGGTTTGTATTTTGTAGGGACATACATTGATGTTGGGAATAGGGTACAAGAGTGATCTCTTCATGCTTGGGCCATATTTCCAAAATGTATGGTATGCATGCCTCTATGAACAAAAATGAGACAAAGATAAAGTGAATGTTGGGAGTAGGGTAACATGGTTTCAGAACATATGCTTTGTGCAGCATGCCAGCTGACTCTTTTTAAGAGTGCACTGCCCATAGAACAAAGTGGTCTACTTTATTTATTCATTAATATTCTGTTTGTTCAGTGCTCCAAGCATCTTTATGGACACCCTTTTGATAAAAGCAGGAGGAAGACTGGCATCTCAACAAAAAATGAGCTTCACTTTTTCCCATGAGTCATTTTTTAAACTCACCACAATTAACACAGTAACTTCTGGAATCAATTGTGGTAGTTTTGTAAAAAAAAATGTAGTTTTAATTTTTGTTCAAATAAATCTATTTGTATCGCAAAGGTAACACTCTACAGATTTACACTTATTCTTGTGTCAATGTAAGCGTGAGATTCATGACTTACAATGACACGAAATGTAAGTTCAAAAACTTACAATTGCGCTGATATTTTGTGTCAATGTCGGAATTAATTGTAAATGTAGACCTTTAGGTACATTTTAGGTGGAACGTCCATCCGGGTGCCTCCACACCCCTACCTGACAGAATTATGAAATGAGTAAATCATAATATAATCTCAATCTGATCTTTAGAAAATTCACCTCATGCCCGATGCACACAAAGAGCTACTTAATCTCAATTTAGGTACATTTTAGGTTACAACCTCTGGATACACCTAGCATGATGTTTTTGTTTTTTCATTCAATCAAAAGAACAAAATGTGCAGAAGAAAGAGAATTAAAAAAAAAACAACAAGAATGCAGTTTTCCACTAGCTGTTGGCCTGCAATGCATGCCCAATGATCATTATATTCTTCCACCTCTCTCTCTCTCTCTGCTCTAGTTAGAAGGTTTGTCCCCTACCTACCAACCTCTCTACTTTTTGCAATCTTCTTCTTCTTCTACTGGCTAGCACTTGTTTGAAGCCAAAAAATCTTCTCTTTTCTTTTTGTTTTGATTGCATAGCCAAAAAAACTAAAAACATGCAAATGGTTGAAAGTCTTTTCTAAATTCTACATTAATTAGAGGGTTTTTTTTGTTGCTAAACTCCAAGCTTCAAAGCCCCAACAAGATGTAGTAGACCAGTGTGATGGGTAGAGCAATTAGCATCCCAAATATCACCCTGCAAATTAAATTTCCTGATATCAAAGCCCAGCTCAAGTTAAGAATAAAAAAATCAAGAGGAAAAATACAGCTATAATTTGGGAATGAAAGCCTTAAATAAATAAATAATTAATTACCCAGTGCTGAGAATATCAGGATGGACATTGTACTCCTTGGCAAAGACAAATGGAACAATTCCTTGTGGAAGAGATGCCTGAAAACCAGACCAATTCAACAATGGAAACCGTTAATCAAATTCTATACACAATTTGCTTCATAAAACAAACAAAGCCATAGATCATGTTATGTTCCATAAATCTGTGTTTCTTTTGTACCACCTGAACAATGGCAATGTGGAGGAGGACGCCGCGGAGGCCAACGACGAGCGAAGCAGCAGCCATCACAGCGGGTCCCGCAACGAACCTCACCGCCATGGAGAAGCCCGCCACCGCTTTCCCACAAGCTATCATTCTCGGCTGCAATGCCATGAATAACCCTGCATAATCCACATCCATATTATATATATTTATCACCAATTACCAATTTAAACAATGAAAACCAAAGAACATTTTTTCTTCTTCTTTCTTCTCTGGCTATGAACTTAATATACCAAGACTAAACATTGCCATTCCAAGACCAGCCTTTGACAGAATGGCTATTGAGTCGGCTACTATTTCAGGCATCTCCACATTCCACCTGCACATAATTTCAATTGCATTGCAAACCATATGTTAAAATGTTGGTTTCATTTATATTAAGCCACACAAAAAGAGAAAGTATGCAAGGTCATGTGAATTGTACATACTTGAAAGCAATCAAAGACCAGGTGATGCCGATGAGGCTGGAGTACGAATTCGGGTTCCGAATGAGTTTTCGCCAAACCATAATGAGAATGAGCTTGGTCAGGACAGTGGCCGGAGGCATGGCAGCAGGTTCTGTCCCCGGAACAACGTTTGCGTTTAGTTGCGCGGTTGAGCCGCTAGACCCAATCTTGGCCAGCACAGGTCCTTTGTTTTCGTTTTCGTTTTGCCCAAATTCGTCGTAATCTATATGAATATAATGGCAAAAGATTGAACATTTTTACCTTAGAGCACTGGAAATACGTATGAAGCCCCGGGGCTTCAAACTCTCTCTCTCTGCCACGTCAGCTTTAACTTACACCAAAAATTCACTGGAAATGGGTTTGAAGCCCCGGGGCTTCAAATTGGGGCTTCAAACCTTTATTTTTTACATTTTTAAATATACATCTTCTAAATTTAAATTAATAAATTTAAATTAATTTATTATTTAAATTAATCGCAATGAGACTAGTGCATTAAAAAAATTACATTCATTAAAAAAATAATTAAAAAATTACATATAATTAAAAAATTACATTAATTAAAAACTTAAAACAAATTATATTTAGCTTTGATCTCGTTATGTCCCCTCTCGAAAGCAAATTATATTCGTTTTGGTCGTTTGACTCGAGACTGGACAAATGAACATTAAAAATGAAGAGATTCATGTTAAAAAAGATGAAAAAATTGAATTTTTTTTTATTTGAAGAAGATAGAGGAAAAGATTTTGTGGGTTTTTTAAAAAAAATTGAAGAAGAAAGATTTTGTTTGTGAATTTTATTTTTAAAAATAAAAAATTGAAGAGGAAAATATTTTGTGGGTGTTTAAAGAAAAGAGTTTTTAAAAAAAAATTGGAAGAAGAAGAGCAAAACGCCCGTTATAAGTTTGACGCAAAGGCAATAAAGCCCGGATGAAGCCCCAGGGGGCGGTGTTTAACGCGTTAAAAATGCAATAACACGGTTGGGCGTTACAGGTATTGCCACTGCCCTTAATTTGTTGGTGACAAGGTTATGTTTTTCCTTGTCTTACACTAATAAAGGAAGTTTAATTAATGACAAACAAGAACAAGAATATATATGTACCTTTTGGATGTGGGCCAAGTGGAAGTTGATGACAGGACACCGGCGAACCGCCGGAGCTCCAAACGAACATATGGAGGTCCTTGCCAGCACCGTCAATCTTCTTCTTTGCCCCGGCCGGAGCAGTCATCGGAGAGAATATTCCGGCGGCCCCGGGAGCATGGAACCCTGCTCGTCCGAACCCACTCTCCTCGTCGAACCCTGAAGCGTGAAAATCGGCTTGGTTAAAGCTGGAGCCCCTCGGGGTGGGATTCCGGGAGGACTGCAGAGAGTAAATCTCCGCGTTGGAGAGGTTAGAGACTCTGGGAGTGAAAGACAGGCCGGAGTTGTTCGGGCCGTGGGAGTGGGACCTGCCGGAGAGAATCTCCGATCTCGAAGCACTCGACTTCCGGACAGTGACGTGGAGCTTCCCGTCTTCCCCAACCTCCGCCCGGGTCTCCAGCGCCTCCTTCCCGTCCAACGAGATGACGTCGGAGTCGACCTGGAAGGAGACGATGGAGGCGGCATTGTCGGGGAACTGGTCGGCGATCAAAATCCGGGCACCCCTGAACTCGAACAAGAAGAGGAGCAGAGTGTACCAGATGATGCACTGGAGGACGACGACCTGGACCATGAGAGTCCCGGAGGAGTCGCCGTACATGCCCTTCAGCAGAGGGATGCCCATGACGAGGGTGTTGGGGAGGGTGGAGACGGAGAAGACGGTGATGGCCCAGTCGAGGGACCCACGGTGGCTGGCCCAAGTC